CATCTCTGGTGCAGGATGAAGTTGACCAACTCAAGAAGAAAAGAATAAAGCTTCAGACACATAAATGCGCTCCTGGCATCAGCAGATGAACTCGCAGTTGAAGCAGAAGCCACTGACAAGATCTCTGTCCTTGCTAAATCAAATGCCCTCAGGAAAGCTGCTAAAGACAAAGAACAGCTAATGCAGTATGACAAAGACATAGAAACGAAAATCTCTGAAATGAAGGCACTTTGAGGGTATAGCCTAGCCATGCAGTCCAAGTCAGACCTGTACTGAACCAAAGTAGCCTTCGTGTGTTTGTGTCTATGTCCATCATGTATGTGTGTCTGTCTTTGTGTGTATATGTCCATGTATGTAAATGTATCTGTGTCTGTTAATTAGACAGTTCCAGTCAGTTCTTTTTCACAGTCCCTCAGCGGTTCTCACAGCATTTTGTAGTGAGTTTTTGATGTCAAAACAAGTCAGTTTAAGTATGTTATACCTGCTGTTTACATTTTGTTACATTTTTGCATGCAGGTCTCAAAAGTCATTCTTTTACTGTATTATTTATTTTACTTTAAATTCATTTTTTAAACAGTATTTATAAGGATTTTTTATGTTGAAGCATTTGATGCCAGTGAGGCACAACCTTTTGTAGTTCTTTATTTTAATTTCTAGTTTGTTAAATTTATGATTTGTTAATTTATTTTTGTATTAATTGACTTAATTTATAGTTACTTGTTAAAACCTATCTGAATGTTTGTTTGATGTTTAAGAACGCCAGTGAGGCCAAGTCTTTTGGAACATCCCTTGTGTTACTCAAGGGCTTTGAGAGATGAAGACAGTACAGTAGGTCAACTTTTCATGTGCAACTTAAAATAAAAAAGCCGTGCACTGAATTTATCTGGGTTTGGTTTTTATGTATTTGTATGAGTGACATTAACTAGCTATAGTCTTCTGGAAATTATTTGGTGACATAATGGCATATACATTCAGAATAATGAAAACAAAGATTAATTCCATAATTTATTTCCATGATACACCTCTATTTACTCAAATGTCACAAATTATTTGACTTTTATTTTATTTTCTTTTACTGAGAAGTCTGGAAAAAGTATGGAATTTTGAAATTTCAAATGTGTAGGAACCCTGGCCTTGAAATAATCCTATTAACTCACCCCAGAGTGACAGCCACAAGAGCTTATTTCTCTGCTGGTGCCATCATATGCATAGCACCATGCTCTGGAAGCCCAGGGAAAACATCCATCTAAGATTGTATTCATAAAATTGCATTTTCCCAGATTGGAGTGGCGGCGTTGACAATTGTGTTTTATAAATTCTATTACAGAGAAAAAAAGTTTCATATATCAGAAGTGGCTATTGCATAAGGCCCAGTTTGAGCAGTAAAAACAAAAACACAGAAATATAAAAAGTGATACACTAATATACCAAGACCACATCTTCAGTCTCATTTTCTTACCTCTCTGACTGGCAGAGTCAGACTCTTGGCCATTGTCAAAGAGCGGACAGTACTCTCCATAGAAGTCTGCATACAGTCCTCCTTCATCCCCCCTTACTGAGCCAATGGATGAGGAGGATTTCAGGGAGGACTGGCTCTGGCTCAGGCTGGAGCACATCACGAGATTACTCAGCTCCAACTCTGGCTTCTCATTCTCCACTGAGGGTGCTGTCTCACTTGGTGCCTCTCCCAGCCCTCCCGAACCCACTGATGATTTCCCCACTGAGCTCCCCCCTGGGGAACCCTTCATGTCTGCTCAGGGACAGACAGAGAGAGATGGGAAGAAGATTAATATCTCGGCTTGGAGCCAAAGAATAACTTAAAAACGTGTCTAAGGTCAGAATTTCGTAGGGAGGGGAACATTGCCTTACCAACATCACTGTTCTCCAGAGACTGGTCTTCCTCAGACACTTTAAGGAAGACCTCCTCCAGGGTGGTGTCCATCACCCCGAAGCTGGTTAGGGCCAGGCTGTCCAAGCTCTGCTCTAAAGCCTGGAAGCACACACAACAAAAGACAATGCCAAATTATTGCATAGCATGCAAAAGTACTCCATTCATGTGATGAATTCTACATGCTGGATAAAAATACATGTGTCACCGTCTGGAAAAATGTAGTCTATACACTACTGTAGATGCTCTCAAGAACATTTATTTAATTTTTATCCAATGCAGAGTTGTGACTGCAATGTAAAGACAATTGTTTCTGCTGCAAATCTCTAATATATGTGACCCATCTGCACGAAATCAGTTGCATTGTGCCTTGGACTATATCCAAGATACAGCCCAAATTATGTTAACACATGACAAAATATTGATTTTGGGTTTATTACTTAGTTTGATCCATTTACTTGTTTTCTACATGCAGGTAACATACCGTCAGGCGCAATGCGACTGATTTCGTGCAGATGGGTCACATATTAAGTGTTCTCGGGAGAATATACATTGATGTGTAGAATATATTTTTCCAGGAAATGATTGCAAATTTTATTGCAGTTCTTTATACCTGTCTGGCTGTTTGGGGTTCTGAGATGCCACTCTGATGGCATTGTTTTATAAATAAGAATTTAAACATCTAAAGTGCCTATAGCTTCTGCACACGTGTATCATGATAAATGCCACATACATAATACTTCCTATTTTGAAATAAATCTACACACAAGATTTTCTTTCCTTACAAATAATGTTTTAAATTCTTTGTACTGAACAATAATGAAAAAATCCTGGGCATGACAGAGAGGAAAGTTACTCCAGCTGTCATTGTGTGATCTAAGTATCAAGAATTGGTCAGATATTAACCACAACCACAATCCCTAACTGGGAATCCACATTTAAAGTGAGATGTGAGCAGTGTGCAAGTGGTCCGTTTCATCCACCCTGACTTTGATCTCCATTCAGTTCCTTTGGAGCTGCTGTCTGTCAGCAGCTCCTGACAAGTTAGGAGAAGGAGGAGGTCATCTCGACAAACCAGGTTTACTGGTGAGTTATCTGAAATTTACTGAGCCAAAATTGATTTTAAGTATTTTTTTTTTTTACCTCTCATCATGTAACGATTGTGACAATGCGATTTATTTTTGATAGATAAAGTGTTCTTCTATAAACTTTACTGCTATCACAATGTACATACAATAATATCACAGTAAAAATTAAACCACAATTAAATTTTGCAAACTGTGTATTCAGGCTTAAACAAAGTTAAGGGTTTGGAACAATACAATTGAGGGTTTTGATTACATTTTTCAACAATGGTCAGTTTAACAGGAAACACATATTCGAGGGGATTTCATGCATCAGAATGTCCAATATTTCTCTTTCAAATGTCACTTAGTCACTCATATTGAGTATGGCCACCCCTGACACGGATCAGTTCATTAAGACATCGTGACATACTGTCCACAAGCTTGTTGAATAGAGAAAATAGAGACAATTTCGCGATGGGATCACACCTGCAGGAACACAGACATCTTCTCAGATTAAGAGATTGTAAATACTGACCCACAAATTAGTGTTTAACAGTTTTAAAAGGTGCTCACGACTTACACAACAACTCTTTTATGGGGATTCTCAAACATATCAACATAGCTTAAATCATGTTTCATTAGTGTGTTATGGAGAGCTTAAACAGCCTAACCATATACGCTAATAAAAGTGAACCTGCCAGACCAAAGATGAACATTCATCCTCTAACAGAGGAGCATACAGAAGAAGCTTTTGTGTGTCTGTGTATGTGAACCTGAAACAGCCTCTCAAAGCAGCCCTTCTTGACGGCCTCAGAAGGCAGGACGTAGGACAGCTCAGTGTTGGAGTCAGACACCAGCAAACAGGATGCCACAAATTGCTGAATAAACTGGGTGACCCGAGCTTCTGAGCAAGGAGACAGCAAGGAGGATGGAGACAGAGATGAAGGAGGCTGCATGTGGCTGCCCTGGCCTGAAGGATGAAAGGAAAACACATAATGGTTGGAAAATGGAGGGACAGTTCAAAAGAAACATAGAAGAGTAAGACAGAAAAGTAAAGACAAAGAAAACATTATACTGCCAATAAAAAGAAGAAAAAAAACAGCTAAATCGAGATGAACTGATGTTGGAGACAATTCATCAAGAGTCGTTTGGCGAGAAGTTAGAGGAGAAGTGAGCAGCACACAGTATTAACATGCTGAGACGCAAGCTCTGTTCTTCACAGCTACTGAATAGCTTACAAAATGTGCAGTGTTTTAAAAATAAAAAGCACAGAATATACAGTGTGACTTGGTTTTTACAACATATCTAGTGATGACATGTGTAGCCGCATGTCATCATTCAATCGCTGGTTGATGAGGTGGTGCCCAGAAAACAATGTGGGGTTAATAGATAACTGGAAATGTCTCTGTAGAAAACCTGGTCTCATTAGGAGAGATGACCTACATCCCACTTTGGACGGTGCAGCTCTCTTATCTAGGAATATGGAGAAATTTAGTAAAAAAAAAAACAAACTCTTGACAGTTCAGGGGTCCGTTTCACAAAGCAGGTTTAGTGAAACTCTGAGTCTGTTAACCCTGACATGAGGGAGAGTTTCCCTGAGGTGAGACCAGGAAGCAGAGTCGCAGTCTTACACACTTCTCTGCTGCTTCTCTATGGCTGTCACCCTCCCAGTATGCTATAGAGATTGTGTCTGCCCCCCCAGATTTTACAAGTCCAACATTAACAACAGAAGGGCTGTTCATAACAAGTTTGTCCAAATTAATACAACCTCATCAGAATCAAAAAATGGGACAATTAAATGTGAACTACTCAATATTAGATTCTCTTTTAGTTAATGATCTGAAAACAGAACATCATATTGACTTAATGTGTGTGACTGAAACCTGGCTGCAGCATGAGTAATACGTTAGTCTCCATGAATCAGCTCCCCCCAGTCATATTATTATTCCTATAGCTAGAAGGACAGGCAGAAGGGGAGGAGTGGCAGCAATCTTCCACTCAAACCTATTAATCAACCACAGACCAAAACTTAATTATCGTTAGTCTTCGTCTCACACACTTGAATTGGAAAGCACATAAGTTCAACAGTTGTGTTAGTTGTTCTATATTGGCCACCGGCCCCCTACTCTGAGTTTCAATCTGAATTCTCAGAGTTCTTAGCTGATTTAGTGCTCAGTGCAGATAAAGTCATTTTAGTGGGTGACTTTACTATTCATATAGATGATGAGAACGACAGCCTCAACTCTGCATTTAGTTTATTGTTAGACTCAGTTGGCTTCTCCCAAAATGTCAATAAACCAACTCGTAGAACCCTTGATCTTGTTTTGACATATGGCATAGAAATCGAACATCCTACTGTTTTTCAACAAAACTGTATTCTGTCTGATCATTTTTTACATTTGAATTTACAATAATGGACTATGGCGCATCCACCAAAAAGTTCCATTACAGCAGATGTCTATCTGATAATGCTGTATCTAAATTTAAGGAGATGGTTCCACGAATATTTATTTCAATGCCATATGCCAACACAATGGAGAGCAGATCCTCCCTACGTGCTTACGGGCTGTCTGCGACCTCGAAATTCTGCAAGACGGACTTGTATGGCACATACCATTTTGCACGTATCTTGGACGCAGGCAGGCCATGGGAGCCCGTACGGCCGGTTGTGACCGAGACCTCAGCTATGCTGCTATAGGCTATAGGTTTAGACAGCCATGGGATTCCCATGATGCACAGGTCTTCTTTTCCATACTCTCCTCTTTCTGTGTACCATACAGTTATTTACCACCATTACATGTCACTTACTCTGTGTTTCCTCTGAGGTCCTGTGTTTGTTTTCTCTGCTGGTGTCTCTGGATCTGCAGCTACACATCCTTGATCTTCAGTCGCTGGCCTTACTGACCTCCAAAATGTTAATTGTTGTGTTTGAATTGTTTGTCTGCTCTCCATCTGCTATCCCCACCCTAACCCCTCCAATCCAAAGGAAACTTTTGATTGTTGGGTTCTCTGTTCTCTATTTAAAAACAATCAAAAGGTCTTCATCACAAGTGCTATGAGATGACATATGTTGTAAATTGGCACTACATAAACAAAATGAGTGTGCCTGGGGCCATTGCAGTGTACATTGTGATTTATAGTCTCACAGATGGGGAAAATACCATTTACAACTCATATTAACTGCACACATACATGTATGCCACACACCTGTGTTCTCACTCTGTTTTTTGACCAGGGTCAGTTTGTATCCATCTCCATATGTGCTTTTCAGGAACAGTGGTGAGCCACAGCACTTGAGTTTCCCATGTGAGATGATGGCAATGCGATCTCCCAGAAGGTCTGCTTCATCCATATGGTGGGTGGACAGCAGAATCGTTCGACCTGGAACAGAGGTATAATGTACACTTACACATACCGTAGTAACTGCTTTGCGCCAACGTTATCAAGCAAGAAATCTTACAGGGACAGACAACTCTTTTAAGAGTTGCATCTAAAGCTGAACTTTTTGAAGATGAGTACTTGTGTCTTCTGGTACTGAGTCATCACTCACCCTGTTTGTACTTGAGGATGAGATCCCAGATGGCCCTGCGAGCATATGGGTCCACCCCTGCAGTGGGTTCATCCAGGATAACAGCCCTGGAACCTCCAACAAAGGCGATGGCCACAGACAGCTTCCTCTTCATCCCACCAGACAAGGTCTGTACCAAGCTGTGGCGCTTGTTAGATAACTCCAGGTCAATGATCATCCTGGACACACACATGGTATGACCCGTAATTAACATTAACATTTAGATTTAGATTTAGCATTTTGATTTTGATTTAGCATTTAGATTTAACATTTAAATTTAGATTTAGATTTAACATTTAGATTTAACATTTAGATTTAGATTTAGATTTAACATTTAGATTTCACATTTAGATTTAGATTTAGCATTTAGATTCACCATTTAATTTCTCCCTCAAATGTGAAGAAAATGAGCTAAATGTGAGAAAAGTGAGCTAAATATTCAAAATATATCAGCTAGAAAAGTGTGACTGAATTTTTACATTCGGCACCCCATACTGAATGCTCTGCACTTTTAACCTCCGCGAGGTTTTTTACAAAACTCTGTTGGTCAAGATAATGGATTTCTCTGGATTTGAACATTCTTGGAAACATTTGGGATAATGGAAGCACACAAGTCAATAAATATAACAGCATATTAGGGCCACACTCTAAAAAAATGTGAATGGGACACACCTCATTTAGAATGTGTAGATCTACATATACATATGTAAATTAATCTCCACCCCACTCACAGCAACTTACAGCTCACCTACACATCTGCTCAAACATTTTAAATCACTAAACAATGGCAACTTTTTACATTAGAGTAATTCAGCCATTTATGGTTGAACTGCTAACCAAATCTAAACAAGAAGAGCCACACTGCTCAAAAAAAATAAAGGGAACACTAAAATAACACATCCTAGATTTCAATGAATGAAATATTCCAGTTGAAAAACTTTATTCATTTCGTAGTAGAATGTGTTGAGAACAAAATAACATTAAAATGATCAATACAAATCCAAATTATTATCCCATGGAGGTCTTGATTTGGAATCATACTCAAAATAGAAGTGGAAAATCACATTACAGGCTGATCTAACTTTAGTGGAAATTCCTGAAGACAAGTCAAAATGAGGCTCACTAGTGTGTGTGGCCTCCACCTGCCTGTAGGACCTCCCTACAATATCTGGGCATGCTTTTGATGAGGTGGTCGATGCTCTGCTGAGTGATCTCCTCCCAGACCTGGAATAAAGCATCAGTCAACTCCTGGACAGTCTGTGGTGCAACAAGGCATTGGTGGATGGAACAAGACATGATGTCCCAGATGTGCTCAGTTGGATTCAGGTCCGGGGAACGGGCAGGCCAGTCATAGCATCAATGCCTTCACCATGCAGGACCTGCTGACACACTTCAGCCACATGAGGCCGAGCATTGTCATGCATCAGAAGGAACCCAGGGCCCACTGCACCAGCATATAGCCGTACAATGGGTCTGAGGATCTCATCCTGGTACCTAATTCCAGGAAGGGTACCTCTGGCGAGCCCATGGAGGGCTGTGCAGCCCTACAAAGAAATGCCTCCCCACACCATTACTGACTCACCGCCAAACTGGTCATACTGGAGGATGTTGCAGGCAGCAGAACATTCTCCACGGTGTCTCCAGACTCAGTCATGTCTGTCACATGTGCTCAGTGTGAACTTGCTCTCATCTGTGAAGAGCACAGGGCGCCAATGGAGAATCTGCCAATCTTGGTGTTCTCTGGCAAATGCCAGTCACCCTGCACGGTGTTGGGCTATAAGCACAAGCCCCACTGGTGGACATCAGGCCCTCATACACTCTCATGGAGTCTGTTTCTGACAGTTTGAGCAGAAACATGCATATTAGTGGCCTGCTGGAGGTCATTCTACAGGGCTCTGGCAGTGCTCCTCCTGTTCCTCCTGCACAAAGGAGGAGGTAGCGGTCCTACTGCTGGGTTGTTGCCCTCCTACACCCCCCTCCACGTCTCCTGATGTACTGGCCTGTCCCCTGGTGTCTCCTCCATGCCTTGGACACTGTGCTGAGAGACACAGCAAATCTTCTTTCCTCAGTTCGCATTAATGTGCCATCCTGGATGAGCTGCACTACCTCAGCAACTTGTGTGGGTTGTAGACATCACCTAATGCTACCTCTAGGGGTGAGAGCACTGACAAAATGCAAAAGTGAACAAAACGTCGGCCAGAAAGGATGAGAACAGAGAAGTGGTCTGTGGTCACCACCTGCAGGACCACTCCTTTATAGGGGTTGTCTTGCTAATTGCCTCTCATCTCCACCTGTTGTCTGTTCCATTTGGTGAAATTGATTCACAATAAGTGTTGCTTCCTAACTGGACAGTTTGATTTCACAGAAGTGTGACTGACTTGGAGTTACATTGTGTTGTTTAGATGTTCCCTTTATTTTTTTGAGCAGCATGACTGCACAGGGCCACTTACATGTTGATGGATCAAAATGGGACTGTACTACATGTATTGCTCTCTACAATGTTAGTAACGTATTGATAATAGATAGCATGAGCCTTGGCTTGACGATGTTATCATACAGCTAATCATGTGCAGCATATGTCAAATGAAGGCTCACAGAGCTCTCGCACTTATACTTACTTGTCCATTTCCTTGCGTATGTCTTCTTCAGCCATGCCTTTGAGTCTGGAATAGAACCACAGGTGCTCCTCCACACTCAGCTTGTCAAACAGGACGTTGTGCTGAGGACACATGCCCAGGTTCTGACGAATACGCTCCATCTCAGTGCGGATATCATGACCATATATGGTTGCAGAGCCAGAAGTAGGCGGAAACAAGCCTGTCAGGATGGACCTATGGAAATACAGCGCAGGCTGTTAATAAAAGTAGCACTGGTTTACTTTGTGATTGTGTTTATAGCATTAGATATGTTTATTTTAATAATACTTTCTAACTAAAAGTGTTGTTTTTTTTCTTCATAAACACTTTCCAGATGCTCTGTGCTTTATTGCTTCTTGTGTAACTACAACATGTGCTCGTTACTCTCAGATATTTCTTTTTTTGGGTAAATTGTTTTTTTTTCACTATTTTTTTTAAATGGTCAATTCGCTTTTGCTTATGTATTTTTTTATTTTAAAGACTTTAGTTGCACGATTGTCATTAAAATAGCTAACGCACACACACACGCACAAAAAACAAAGAAAACTTGTAGGTTACAATCAAAACCCTCAGCAAACTTAACATTTTTATTGTCTTTACAGTCATATGTATACTACTCCTGCTTACATGGTAGTGGTCTTCCCAGCGCCATTGTGTCCCAGGAAGGAGACCACCTGGTTTTCATGGAGGTTGAGGCTCAGTTTGTTGAGGGCCAGTTTGCAGCCAGTCTTGTACACTTTGGTTAGTTTATCTATACACACCACAAGGGGCAGGTGGCTTGGCTCCTCCTCTATGCCACGCATCTCTTCTGGAGTTCCAATTAGAAAGAGAGAAATAGTGTACAAAAAATATGACTCACATATTAACAAAAAAAAAGCAATTAAATAACATTAAATTTTATTCAGCACTCTTGTACTTCTTTTCTTAGCAGTCTAACCTATCCAATAAATTTGTTGTCACATGCCAAGTGGCCTTTACTACTTTTTAAGTAGGAAGGTTGTAAGGACTGAATCTTGTGCAGCAACATAAATCAAGTCATTGTGGATTCACAAACATATCCAGACTACAACTTCAAATAATTAGTTCAGACCCTCATTGATGAAGAGCTGAATCTATGACTTTCACTACCACTTTATGCTCATTAATCTGGTTTTATTTATGTAGGTTTTTAGATTTCTGATTCCACTTTCAATTAGACTAAGAACCCATATGTAGGATCAACAAGCCAAAATCAATTTTAAGATAGAGAAAGAGCCAGTTTTGCCCATTTACAGTAATATACTTGAGACAGGGTCCACTTTGATCAACAAAGTAGAGACAACAAACCAGATGATTGCCAGTAAAGAAAGCCACCTTTCAGGTCTGTCAGGATGGTGTAAAGTTGTGCTATCAGAAGGCAGCCAAGAGAAAGCAGATTCCACAACACATACCTCCAGACAAGAAGACACCAGCAACATAGGACAGGCTTAAACCCCCAGTCACTCTCAGGCCTACAAAGGACTAAATGGCTGCCACATGCGTACTGACCTGCAGGAGGTGGGGGGCAAAAATCTGATAACAACATCGAAAGGATTTCACCCCCACCAACAATGCCACAAGGACCACTGAACTCACATTAGGACAAAGACTAAACCATTCTTTATAATCACTCTTTTAAAGGAACTGCTGAAAATAGTGCTGTCAATAACCTCTTTATGATCAATCACACCATGCGCTCTCCTTGTTTAGGTGTCAAACTGTAAGTTTGTAGCGGACACAGCTTGGCTCTTTTTGGAATGCCAAGCGAGAGGGCACACCAGGTAACAAACACTCTTTTTATTTAAGCTCTGGATCTATTCCCACCATAAAACTGCCACCTTGGACACTATACAAAACGGGGAAACCCACTCGTTCCGAACCACCATTAATGTCACCCAAAAAAAAAAAAAACAAGGATTATAGCAGGAACCTGTTGCAATCAACTTCACCATTGGTATTCCACTGGAATAAATAGTGATGCATTCACATTCTTACAGCATGGACGCAACGCTCACACCTCCTGCAGAGGCATGAAATGACAAATGGGACACTACCACTTTGAAAACAACAACTTCAAAGGCACAGTGACTCTCATTGAGGTGTGAACAGTCCTGTTTTTCTTCTTTCTATGGACACTCTCCACCACTCTTACAATGATCTCTATCTGCCAACTCTGACCCCAGTGAGCAGGGCAGCTGATAAGGAGACCACTACAAAACTGGGGCTGCACACCAGTGGGAGTCTGGAGTAAAAGTCTCATACAACACGGACTAAATAACTGTTTTTCTAAAATCTGTTTTGTGTGTTTGTGTCATGTGCTGGGGCGCATTTTTACTCTTTTCTTTTGTTCATATTTTCCCTCGTTATGTTTATTGGAGCTTGTTTTTTGTGTGCATATTGAAGTTTTCCCAGGTGAGCATGTTCAGTTGAGTTTTTACCGCAAATTAATGGAATTACTGCTCCGCCTATAAATAGGCTGGATTTCTGCACGTTCACTCTCTCGCTCTTGCCTCCAGATCGGATACATATACCATATTGTGGTCTGAAAGGGGAAAAGGGGAAAGCCAGCCCTGTTAATGAGGTAAAACCTGAACGTGGTGCAGGAGAGACAGAATCCTCCATTGCAACATGTTGATGTCATGTAAAGCTTTGCCACTTCAGGACCCAGCACAAAACACTGTGGGAGGACAAAATTTGCATACTAAAAAAAAAAGAGACAAAAAGAGAACGCACCAAACCAAACATCAGAGAACTCAGATACCCCTTTTCCACCAAAAAGAACCAGGTGCTAGTTCTATGCCAGTGCTAGTGCCAGTGCTTAGTTGGTTCCAATCTGGCACCTCCATATGAAGCCGTTCACCGAACAAAGCTTGTGTCACACGGAAATCCACATAGGACTCCAGACCTTTTTTTTTTTACCGGTGTGACCAAGTTTCTCATTTGGTCGCACTACCCACCTTGTCACAGGCAAAACATATGACTTGCTGAACATTTTCTTTTTGATAGACTCAGATGTTCCCCGAAAGTCCCACACTGCAGGCTGAGATAGCTGCTGTTGGTGACTGCCATGCTCAGACCGGCATACAACCAAAAATGACTTTAAAAAGAGTAAACTAGGGCGTTCCAATGTCAGATTTGTCCAAGATGAAACCAAGTGATTTTTTTTCCCTGTGCGGTGTTTTCTATGAGCGGATGTAGGTGTGCTCCATTTTTCACAAGACTTAATTTCTAAGCGTAAATACTGCAGTACACTGAAGTTATAGTTTGATAGGCTAGAATGTGCATTAGAAGATCACTGTGTACATGACAGGTTAAATGGAAATACTACTGTGATCTGTTAAGAGTTAAAATGTGGTAAATATCACCAATCACATGGCATTGTGCTAATGAAGTCATTTATCTCGTTGAATTTTAAAATACTGATGTTTTATAGAATCTTTATGATTGAAATTGTGTACAAATGCAGTGGATATATAATTTGTTGTTGTTTTTGTATCTTTGTACCTGAATGTAAACGCAGCCGCGCTCAGCTGTGCACTGATTGAAGAGTTTAGATGTGAATCAGCAGGAAAAAGTGAAATCTGAGTTTTAAAAAAATGTTTGTTTAAAGCAGCAGTCGTAGAAATGATCGAACATTTTTGTACTTCCAACAAGCTGCAGCTGCTTCAACAAGAGTTTAAATCCATCTTTTATATACATAATTCATGACATTAGAGTTAAAGGTTAAAAACGTATCAAATTAAAAGTTTCAGAGAGATTAAAAAGTGTGTTAAAAGAGTTGAAATTGGTAAATAATTGTGTTAAAAAGGGTAAAATGTTCTAAATAGTTCTGCTGAATTCACATTGTGTGCTTTACTGTTTAAGTTATGCCCATAGACTGTAAAGTTTAAAAAAAACAGGCGAATGCCATTTTGTTATTTGCTTCTGTTCTTTACTACCATTTTTTGGGAGCAAGAAATGGAAAAATCTAAATTGCATATGCATGTGACATTTACAAGACTAATGGACATTAAGTTAATATTTGTAATTTTGAGTGAAATCACCTTGTCATTTAGTACAATGACCGTGTAGTTTTGAGATTAAGAATTATGTGAAGCCATTGATTTAACAAAAAAAGTTAAACTAAATTGTAAATTAGTGCAATAACCTTGTAATTATGAGTGTAATCATTATGCAAAGCTATTGCTTTTACAAAAGATTTAATTTATTTAGTACTACTTTAAAAAGCATATCCATCTTTTTCAAGTTTTTAAGTCAAATGTTAAATTTTTTAGGGCAACCAGTTTCCTGAATTTTTAAAAGTAAACTCAACTTATCTGGCTTTACAGTGTAACTGTTGAGCAGATTCAGGTCTTTTGGTAGTGCAGGGAGTGCTCCTGAGGTCCTTTTTTTGACTGTAGTGACATCTGTCATTTTGGGGCAGCGAAAGTTCTACAGCAGACAGGAAAAGACTTAGCAAGCTGGTAAAGGAGACCATGTTCTGGGATGTCCCCTTGACCCAGTGGAGGTGGCGGGAAACAGGAAGATGCTGTCTAATCTGTCATCCTTGTGGGAGAACACATCCCACTACCTGCAGGACACTCTGATGGCACTGGGCAGCTTCTTCTTCTGACAGCTTGCTTCACATACTGTTTGTTACGGAGAGAAATCGCAGATCCTTCCTTCCTGCGACTGTTAGACTGCACATCCAGCACTGCTCCCAGTAGAATATATAGAAAAACTGTCATATTTCACTCTGGTGTAACATCAGTGCACTCAAATCTGTGCATTATATATATTTTGTATATTTAAAAGACTAATGGAAGACTAATGACTAAAGACTAATGGACATATACGTATATATTGCTTCTACGTATGTAACAGTCTATGTGATGTTTTTGTACCTATTGAATATCCCTGTGCAACTCAAAAGAAATCTGTGCAAAATCTGATTTTTTTCATATAGAGAATATGTACAATACCAACTGTACTGCATAATGCATTGTATGTATGTTTCTTGTTTATTTTTTGCTGCTGTAACAATGCAAGCTTCCCTGCTGTGGTTATACTGTAGGCATATCTTATCTTTTTAGCAAGCTAAGCTAACCTGCTGTTTGGTGTAGCCTCATATTTGCTGAACAGACATGCAGTGTTTAGTATTACCCAAAATGTGTGGTTGGCCTAAACTAAGGGTTTCAACATTGACAAAAGTTCACTGAGAGTTCACTACAGCTAAATAGTTAAGGAATTAATGTTAGTAAGTTCATGTTGTTTCATTCTTTATCGGCCATAAATACATATGTTCCTACCAGACCTCCGTTGCTCCATCGCACATGCTTGATCCTCCTCCATCACACTGAGTCTGGCAGCCCCCGCTCCACACCACGGCCAATCCCAGGTCTCAACACGCCCACTGCCTGACCAATAGGACCTCTGCAAGGGAAAGTACCATGGGCGTGGCAGCCCATACATTCCTATAACACAGGGAAAACATTTTTATCTAATTAGTCCAAAGATATGATAAAACGTGAGAGCAGGATAGTGAGGCTTGACAGGGCACTGATTTCCCACCTGGATGCACGGCCTCTATGTACCAGGTAAGCACACCGTACACTCCAGCATCAATGATGAGCATCATCATGGAGAGACCCAGGTTAAAGTCATCACCTTCTACTGGTGACTGGCTAATAGTCCGCCACTGGATGCCAACACCTGCTACCTCATACAAAGCAAAATACTTGGAGCCAAGGCCAAAGGCTGTGGTGGACATCAGAGACTGAGAATGACAGTGGAAGCAAGAATTTATTCACCTTAGCATCATTTGGATTATCTAAGAAATACGTCAGTGACAGCACATGAAAAATATTTTATAAACAGACCGCAAAGACAGATAGATTTAAAAAAACAGGAAAAGGGGAAAAAGGCCTTACAGCAATGCATTTCTCAAAGGCAGTGATCTTATCATGGGCCACCTCTTCCCGAATGGCCACATACATGTAGGGTACATAGCTGAGAAAGTAGATGATTCCACCGCAGGCTGAAGCAAGTTTAGCTTTAGAGTAGATTACTGACACCAAAAAACTGGAAAACAGGAAAGAACATTACATGGGCTTATATCTTCAAACAAACACATACACTTGCAGGCACATTTGTACACCTACGCATGCGCGCACGCGCACACAGAATTATAAATGGTGGGAAAACACATGTAGGAAGCATGCAGAGTAGAGACAGAGGAGGTAAGTAACTGCTAAACAAAGTAGAAACTAACCAAAAAGAGAGACACATTATGTGCACATAGACATTCTGGGAGACACAAATAGTTAAGCACAGTAGACAAAGGGAAGAGGCAAATAGAAACAGAAATGAAGAATGTAAAGAAAATCCAAAGAGCAAAACAGTTACCATGAAGTAAACATGACTAAATTATACAGTCAGCTCCTGGTCTGTGGAAACAAACACATTTTGAGAAATTAAGAATTCTGTCATGGCTGGTTTAGTGAAATCTGGGGATCTCACCAGAACATGATGGTGGCCACGGCGTAGATGGTGAGGAAGAGCCAGATGATGAAGGGGTCACTGTGGAGCAATACCCGGCCATACTTCAAGATGGCTGTGAGAGCGGTAACAGAGATAGACAGCTGGACGAAACCGGTGATGAACCAAGCCACCCAGTGAACAGCATTGTTCAAACCCATCATCTTCATCACCTAAAGGGAGTGGTACCATGTTTGCATGTTAAAGTTTTTAACAACATTGGCCTACATGCCATGTAAAACTAATCTACAATAGACCTAGATCAACCACTGAACACTGACAGGAGATTGTTGAGTGCTTGAAGGGCCATTAGTGACAGAGGTAGACATACAACCTGAACACTGGAAATCACTCATCATGAGACACACCTATTACACTATAAATGTAACTAAAGGCATGAGTCAAGCACAAATGATACAAACAAAAACAAAAGAGGGGGAAGAGAGCCGGGATCCATACTTGGCTAAAGGCTAACCCCTCCAGACCCAGCAGGACCATCGCTTCTACTCTCCAATATCCGCTCCCTTGACAACAAGCTGGACGAGCTACGTTTGCTGGGAGAAGCCCGCGGAGAGTTGAAAGACTGCTGTGTGTTTGCTTTTACAGAAACATGGCTCCAGGATAACATCCCAGACAGCCATATAGCTGGAGGGGATGACATTACTCCAGGCAGACAGACAGGCAGGTAGTTCTGGGCAGCATCTGCAGCTTCACCGTCGTCACACCATGGTGTGCGCCTTTGTGTCCCTAAAGACCTACCAGGACCTGAAGAGGTTCGCCATGTTAAACGTGATGGCGGCATGCATGGACGCAGTGGCCCCTTCAGGAGACAGCGAGAGTGAACGTTTAGTGTCTTGCCTATTCCAGAGGTGCATTCTGCAAAACGTACTAATTAAATGATCCTGAAGAAACACTGTCTCATCTTACAACTGTGTATGTACAGCAAAATGACAATCAACTTGATTTGATTTGAGTCCAAGAAGGCTCAAGCAACTTCTGAGTGACATATATTTTCCCAAGTGTAGCAACAAGAGATCTTTCCACTGGAAATTCTTTCCACTGATAGCATGACAAAGAAGGAGTTTACATTGTGTGGGTTCCAAACAGTTCTTTGCACAGTGATTTTGAACTCCCTGATCCCTGAGGTAATATATCACTGCAATGGAATCTCAAAATGCTAATCCTTGTGATTGGAAGCATATCAACAAGAATATGTTGGGTGCCGTTGTATATTATGCATGGCAATGAGGGTGTTGGGAAATGACCTCACCTGCTCATCAGGGTATATGGAGTTTTAAAGACACATCAGCTTGCCCAGTCACGCCCCACAGGTAACCAGTAAAGCACCTGTGCTGGTGTGAATTAACTTATGATTTGATCTTCTCTCAGGAGATGTGACGGTGCAGTGTGATAATCTGTACTACTTTCAACATTTCTCCCTGTTCAGGTTTTGTCAGATTTATTCCTTTTTCTCTCCAGGTTCTGTGGCTGTAATCCCAATACAACATATTGCTGCAGGGCAGCTAACGTGCTTGGTGGGACACTGTGCTGAGAGTGCAGACTTAACCTTGGCTAAAAGTGGGAGTTTAAGTCAACTTAGCTTGAAGTTAACTGAATCCCAACATAGCTGGTTGTAAATAAGGAAGTGAGCAACTCTGTGTTCTTGCTAGCCCCCTGAAAAGTTGTGACTGTGTGATAGTATTGTTTTTTTTTTTTGTTCGTTTTTTTTTTTTACTTTGGCAACCCACCAGGGACATTTTTGTATGGGTTGTGGAGTTTCCATGCTTTGAATGTTGGGTGTGTTTGGGTCCCCAATGTACACTATTATCCAGAGAGAGCCCACAGTCTTGCATGGACTGTTTCATGATGCCTGCACGCACCAGACAAGCCCAGCTTTTGGAGTAATGAATGCAGGCTCCCCTGTTTTTCTGCATTTTAAGAGCAAAAACAGGAAAAGAGATGGAGACCACTAAAGACAAAAAAGGGGAGTGTTCAAGGTCTTGACACGGCACCCAGGCCACCCCATTGTGGAGCCCACAGCAGTCCAGCCTCATAGAGATTCCCTTTATACTTTCACTCCAGGGTTGAAGGTGGCCAAGTAGAAAGAAGAGTGAGAGAATGTGGATGTAGAGAGAGAATGACCTGTCCTGTGGGCAGTAATTTCAAGAAAGGTATTGGGTATTGGGTATTTCTGGGCACAGCCACCTGCCCTAACAGGAATTCCATGGATGGCATGCTTGCAGAGCAAAACAAAACTATGGCTATGCAGGCTCATTTGGCTGGAGCCCATTGAAACCCATTGTGTCCCTCACCCTTCATCAGTTGTATCATGAGGTGCTGGAAGGTTCTGGGGGTTTTAATATGGTGTATGAGCATGGCATGGCCCTTCACGTCTCTCTCCCATTATTAAAGTGCAGGCAGAGCATTAGCATATTTCTGGGTTGCTAGATGCCACCTTTGGCTAACCCAGCCCAAGTACGGAGACTGGGACCTTTTACTCAAACTGCTGCTAAACTGCTCAATTGCTAAATCTCTCTGCTGATGCCTGAATGCCCCTGAAGCATATTGCTGTGGTGGTCCACTCACACGCTCACTGGTAGTCTGTGTTGAGCACAGATTTTGGCTAGCAGCAGAAAGTAAACTCTGTTCCAGCCTAGTCACTCTAGCATCCCTCGGAATAAAGAGAGGCATTCACTATCACTGTGACACCTTTACAGCGCATTGCCCGTGGTGTTACAACCTAATATGTTTGGTGAGGTCCCTGCTAGGTGCTTTACCAGCTGTGGTCCACTGCCAGCTGGTCTTCACAGATGCCTCCACAGTAGGCTGAAGCATGATCTATACTGTCTTCAGGGGTCAACGGACTCTGGATTTGCTTTAGGTGACCCAGTGTGTAACGTCCTGCAGTGTAGAGTTCCTTGCTCTCCGGAAGTTCCTGCCAAGGTTGTAAGGTCACTTTGTCATTGTCAGGAAAGACAGCACTGTGACCACAGCACCTATTAATAGGCAGACTGGCAACAACACTGTGGCAGAAGGTTCACCCCCTCTTCTGCTTGCTCAGAGTCACACATGCCAAAAACTCTGAACACGGCAGCAAAAGTCATGGCAAGACCAAGTAATGACTCCATCCTCAGGGGGCTAAGGAGAATTTATGTTGCTTTTTTGGGGCAAAAGTTCAACCTTCTCAGTTCCAGAGAGTCTACATATTGTGGACTCTTCTTTTCCCTCATGAAATGATGATCCACTTCTGGTATGGTATGCCCTGGCACACGTGGCCTGGTAGTCTATTTTGAGCCTTCTGTCCTTTCATGCTGCTCTAGTCCCTTCTTCCAAGGATGCAGAATGAGTGAGGTTGATTTTGGTGGCTCCTCTTTGGCATCACTTGCCATGATCCCAGCCATGCACCTCCCTCAAATGGGACACATTGGAAGCTTCCACTTTGAAAAAGACCTGCTGTCTTAGGCTAACCAGACCCTGTTTTATCCCTTCCTGGCTGGGCTCAGATTGGCAGCCTGGCCTCTGAGAGGAACAAGTTCCTGCCCATAGGCTTGTCAAAGCCTGTGGTGAGAACTATGTAACAGGCCTGGTCGACTTCCACAAGAGCTTTCTACCTTATGGTAAGAGGGGCATTTACCACTTGATGTGGACTTCAGCAGCCAGACCTCTATTCAGCAGCCCAGGGACTCCTGCTGTTTGTGCTGTCTTAGCTGGAGACACGGAAGTCTGCCACTACCCTGCGAGGTGTGGTGGCAACACAGAATTAGATCCCATTCCCTCTATGGATCTTGGGCATAGTCTGTAATGTGCTTTGGCATTCCCCTCTTTTTACTCTTGTTGCTGATCTCAAGTGGGTTTTCTGTAGAACTGCATTTCTGTTGGCCACAGCCTCTGTCAGGCTAATGGCGACTGCCAAAGGTTTTTGCCAGAGCGACTTGGCATTCCGGCTAAAGGCTTCATCTGAATTTCACCTGTCTCAGTCAGTTGAGCGGTAGTCACTTGCCTGTTCCAGAGAAGACCACGAGGACCAGCACAAGTTTTAACCATGCCCTGTCCAAGCTTTTGCCCTGGATTGTGGACACCATTCAAGTGATGTGTGTCTCCCAGGTACGTCAGTCACATCCTGGGTCTGAGCACACTCACCTTGTGTTGGGGCAACCATGTGGGCCCCTGTGGCGGGGAGCCTCTCTCACTGCCATATGTGCACTAGCCACATGGTCATCTCAGTCCACTTTTGTCACTTTCAGAGATATGTTTTGATCAAAACTATCAGTGAATTTACACCGGCACAGGTGCTTTAGAGGTAACCTGTGGGGCTTGACCGGGTGTCTTAGAGAAGTATCCATATACCCTGATGAGCAGAGGGGTCATTCCCTGTACATAGAAAATATGTAATTGGTGGAGAGATAGTCTCTTCACTCAGAGAACCAAGGTTACAATGTAATCAATCAATCACTTGTGTAACAGGGACATAATCCTGTCATGGACATGCACTGAATCTCTGCTGGATTCCAAAATCAATGTGCCATTGAATTTGAGTGGTTTTATAGCACGCTATACATTACATTTAAAAATATATCCATTATCTAAACATTGTTTAATCCTTAAACGATGGAGCATGGCACTCAATACAGTGTAGTATATTTACCCAATCATTTAGATATTGTTATTATTACTAATAATATTGCTGCTGGTCCAGTTACTGCTGTGGTGACAGAGATGCTCATGGTAACAATCATTAGTATAATTTGCATGCATATATATTATACATCAGTAGCATCTGTATTTTTCCCCTAGTGGTCCAAAGCTTGGGCCTTTGTTGATATGGAAGGCTTCTTCTGTCACGCCCAACTCTGAGACCTGCGTGCTGGCAGTCAATCTCTCTCCTCCACTCAGCCTGATCCCTGCAGGAGGATGTGCCCTGGGGCGGCAACGGTTGGTGGCAGCAGGTATTGGCAATCACCGTGATTACGGCGGGAGCTTGGGTGCCAACACCTGCCCTTCATAAGCTGCAGCAGAATCCACCAGCGTTGCCGGACCGTTCTCCAGTTTGTCTGCTGAACCCGTCAGTTCCAGCCCTGTCTGAGTCTGAATCTTGTCAGTTGTGCCTTCAGTCCGACCTTCACCTGCCTGTCTGCTGTCCCCAGCTGTATGACGAAGAGCGGAGACAATTTCACCTCAGTCTGCTGTTCCCAGCTGCATGACGAAGAGCGGAGATAATTCCACCTCAGTCTGCTGCGTGCTCAGCTGCCTACAGCCCCTCATCTCCTGCTCCCATCAGCCTGGACCCCCCTTCCCTTTTCCCTACACTGCTCCGTCAGATGACAGTCAACCATAAGTTTTATATATAGTGTAAATAGTGTTTATAGTTTAGTTTGTGTTTATTGTTTGCTGTTCCGTGCTCGGTTGTACCGGGTTTATGTTTAGCTGGTTTCTCCGTCCGTCCGTCAGCTGTATCGCTAGATAACACTCATGTTTAGGTTTGTTGTTTTCCTGTCAGTCTGTTTCGTTAGCTCTGGTTGTAGTTTACCATTTAGTCTCTTAGTGTTTCTGTTTCACTGTAAATTTTTGCACCGTGCTTTGTAAATAAATTCACTTCCAGATTTATTCGTCTGTCTGCCATGTCTCTGTCGTCTGCCATGTTTCTGTCGTCTGCGCCTGAGTTCCTGAACTATTCGTAACATCTTCCACTCCAGGCCAGAAGGGGAAAAAATTCTTCCTTTACTCATCAGTCTGATTCACTCTTTCATCATCATTGCCTGGTCCACAGAGAACAGTCTCTCTTCTAAACAGTCTAGGGTAGGTGTGGGTAAGACCACTGGCTACCGTCCAGGGCCCAGCGGTTCTGAGGTAGAGATCAGATTTTGGCTATTGGATTGGATCAAATCTTGAAAATGGGTTGTTCAAAAAATGTTCTTTGTAAACTAGTGGACACATTTTTTTAGAATTTAAAATTCTAAAAAAAAAAAATATATATATATATATATACAATTTAAAACCCATACTGAAAATAGCCACTATGTATTTGTGAACAGTGAATATTTGCTTGTATCAGCAAAGTATTTGCAATGGATCACATGAGGGGTCTGGCAGGTACGTTTATACTGATTATTTGTTTTGTTTACTGGCACTTCAAATGAAAACATTTAAAGTGACCTTGTGCAGCCTATTCTGTCTGTTGTTTCTGATGTTGCCAGCATATGCAGTCCTTTTTCAAGCTTGGTGATCCAGATGTGTGTAATTTTTAAAAAATTTGTCTAGACCAGTGAGATACAATTCCATATTGCTCTGCAAAATGATCCAGTGAGGGTAGGTGTATAGCGCAGTTTACAACATATGTCATCACATAGCACTTAACATGGTAAGGTATAGACCATACAAATTTAAACAGAGAACCTAACAATCCAAAGTTGTCTTTGGACTCCCTCTGAGCAAGCAGCTGGCAAAGGTGGGAAGGAACCAAAAATGGATGTGACACAGTGGAGAGCTGACTCCACTCGCAGAAGGGAAAGGATTCTATGAAAACTTTGGTGGTAGTTGATCTTGGGAAAGTGATGGAGCACAGAAGATCTGACAGACTGAGGAACAATCAGATGATCAAGAGGAGATCCTACTGAATTCTCCCACCTGGCCACTCCAATCACACACAAAAGAGGAAGAATAGTTTCCACAGACAAATCCTCTTTAGAAGGCACAAACTGGTGGGAAAGGGTGTCGGTCTTAATATTCTGGGATCCAGGGCAATAGGTGAGAGTAAAGTTCCACCTTCCCAGGAACACAACTCACTGAGCCTGGTGAGAGTTCAACCTGCAAGCTGAGCACAGGTAGGACAGGTTTTTCGTGGTCAGTCCAGACTGAGTAGAGTCCTCCAGTCCTCCAGTGCCTCCATTCTTGGAGGGCCAAAACCATTGCAGTTAGTTCTCGATCTCCAGTGCTGTAATTTCGCTCCACTGGGGACAACCAGTGAGGAAAGAAGGTGCAGGGGTGCAGCTTACAGTCGCCTGTGAACCATTGACAGAGGACTGCTATTTTTATTCCTTTGATGCAGTTTGGCGAAGATGGACGCCTGGTTAAATAAACTGAAAACTGAGTCTATGAGAGGGAGAGGATACTTGTTCTTAATAGTAATTTCATGATGTCCTTTGTAATATATGCAGAGGTGCAGAGTCTTCTTCTTTTTGTAAACAAAGATGAAGCCAGTACCAACATGAGAAGAGGAGGGACCGATGAGATCAGCAGCCTGGGTTTTAGTACTGTATTTTTTCATAGCTTCACATTCAAGTTTAGAAAAGTTGTAAAACTTACTAGACAGTTAGTGGGGTACCAGGGAGCAAGTCAATAGCAAAGACATAAGGTTGATAAGGAGGAAGTGATAGGGCCAAGTCCTTACTAAAAACAGTGTGAAGGTCATGGTAGTTGGGTAAGACACAGGAAAGATGTACGGTCTGAGGAGAGTTGGAAGAGTTAATGGGGCTAGAGGGAACGGCTGAGTGTAGATAGTGTGAATGACAGAAAACAGAAGAGGAGAGAAGAGGAGGTTAATAGGGGCTGTGAGGTGTGCCACATGGGGCAAAAATGTCTTTGGGGTCAGGAAGAGTCCCCAAACAGCACCAGTGGGACAGCAGGTGATGGAGAACTGGAAGTCGGTGCCCCCCTGATAGCTAATGGTCTTTTGGCAGAGGGACATTTGGCCATTAAATGACAGGAGAGTCCACAGTACATGCAAAGCATCTCGGCAGTTAATAACTTTGTCTTCCCTAGGTGCATGAGCTTTCCTGAGGCTGGCGAAAATGGAGGTGCAGGAAGTAGAGCAGGAGATGAGGGAGTGTCCAGGAAAGGAGAAGAGATGTGTTGCAGGGATGGCTTGGCGAGGAGAGAAGTGTGTGTGGGCCTGTCTGTCTAACTTCTCTGTATGTCTCTCTCGGAAACAGTTATCTGAGAAAGATAGCGAGAGACACTAAATCATCTACAGATGACATCTCGTATCATCGATTTGTCATATTGTCTGAATGTCTTCAGAAATCTTATGCATTTCAGCAGTAAATGATTCTAGAGACTGACACACTGAAGAATTATTAGTAGATACAGCTACTGCACAGGAGAAAGGTTTACCAGTTAAACTTTTGATGAAAGCAATTTTAGCCTCGTCAGTACAGTATGTTACACTAAACTGCACTAGTGAAGTAACAGATTGCATGTCCCTAAGTTACCAGTGTATCTTGCTGGATTAGATATGATCACAACTCATAGAGACTTGAACGGCCACATGGTCCATCTGTCCAACGAGCTTTGACACACTAAAAGCCAGTCCATGGATAGTGTCCATAAACTCCCACAGGACTGTCTCGTACTGCCCTAGAAATGCTCCTTGGTCTGAGGTATACATTCAGTTTGTGCTTGGTACATACTGGCTAGATCGTTCTGTCAGATTTTGGTTTTGGTTTGGCCAAGACTGCAGACACGGAAAGCAGTGTAGTGAAATGACTGATTTATTGTGACAAAAGGTCTCACAAAGGGCAATGGAGACTAAGGACAGACTGGTTAGATGGTGGGCGGCTGCAGAAACAGTGTGGAGTGATCCAGAGAGAGATGAAGGCTGAGCACATGGGACGCTGGAGCACAGGTGAACTGAATTAGCAGCAGGGTAGCAAAGCACACAGGAGAATCTACACCGTAGAAGTCAGGAAAACAGGAATCTCAAAGTCACTGGAAGAAGAACATTCAGGTGAATCACTGGAGAGGCTGGACAGTCACTGTTGCTGTATTAAAAGCACGGGACGATCTGGCACCTGAGTGGAGTGCAGGGTTTAATGTAGGAGTTGATGATCTGGAATGAACTGCAGGTGTGCTTAATCAGACTGCTGTGGGAAGCCAAGCCATGCCCTGAGCCACACACTGAAAGGTAACCAGGGAGAACAGAAAAAAGGGGAAGGGAGTGGAGCCGGGAGAAACCACACCAAACCTAGCTCAAAAATACAAAACCGAACAGAGACAATCTCTCACTTAAAATTTCAGTCTATCAAATACATTGTGCGTATCGCCACTGTGACCATAACAATTATACTAATAATTACTCACTTATTTATTAGTAACTACCGTTACTACTGTTTTGTGATAAAGTATACATTCAGCATTATTCTGTTGAAAAGGAATCAAATGACACCTAAACAGTGGGCAACAGAGTGTGTGCCAAAAAAGTTTAAAAGAAAAACAAACCAAAACACATAAAAAACACAAACCCTAAATATAAGTTAATTGTTGGATTCGGTCTGCACAGGAGTTTTGCTGACAATAAAAAAACTATAGAAGATTTCTAGACATAAAAATAATAACAAAAATACGAGCTGTGGTCAGGCAAAGAAAGCTGCATTTAGCCTGAGGTGTTAGCCAGTTACAATAGACGTGAGCATGCTGTCTAACCTCCTTGAGTCGGTGTTCTTTCTCTGCCACAATGTGCTGAATCATCATGGCTACTGAGTAAACCCAGGAGATCACCATGCACAGAGGCATCATGTGCTCAATCACAAACAGAAAACTGAAAAGAACACAACAAGAACACAATCTATTAGTTATAGACCAAATAGACACAATTTTAGACGATACTGCATTTCAAATGCACAGGATTTTTGGATTTTCTCACACATACAAACAGTGATGATATATAAAGTGTGTTTGTCCAAAATTAACAACACAATGTATTAGCTTAAAATACATGTTTTTAAATTGCATGCATTTCAGTGCCTTGCTAAACATTCTAACCTAAAATGAACCACAAAAAAGCATGTGACGGATACAATACTAAATTTGTTATAGTGCCTATAAAAAGTATTTACTCCCGTTGGGAGTTGCTTTTCAATATTGAATCATGGTCAATTTCAAGAAGAATTTACAAAAAACACTAGTTCATGTCAGAGTGAAACAGATTTCTATAAAGTAATGTCAATTAATTAAAAACACAAAATGTAGAATCAGTAATTGCTTCAATGTGACTCATTTTATCCAAAATAGATGCAACCAATTCAAGGTGCTAAAAGTCAATAAATTAGTGACATTTGTGAACAATAAATTTGTCTCAAACGAATGTGGTATAAAGGAACATGTCTAGAAGGTCCAGTCACTGGTGAATGACTTCTCTTGGCTATAACTACATCATGAAAATAACATACCACTCCAAACAACTCCTTGAAAAGATTGTTGAAAAACATAAGTCAAGGAGAAATCCAAGACAATTTCCAAGTCACTGAGTATCTCCTGGAGTACAGTTAAATCCATCATTAGGAAGTGAAAAGAATATGGCACATGTGTAAATCCATCTAGAGCAGGCTGTCCACAAAAACAGTGAAGCAAAAAGACTAGTGAAGGAGTACTCTTGCCCATATCCTTCACCTGTCAAATATTTTTCAGAGTGGCCAAGAGCAAGCCACAGTTAAAAAAGTGGTTTTTGTTATGATGAGGCCAAAATTGACTTGTTTAGCCTTCAGACGATGTGCTATGTTTGGTGGAAACCAAACACTACAAATCATCACAAACACATTATTTCCACCATGAATCACATTGGTAGCAGAGTCATGATGTGGGGATGATTCTGAGCACCAGGCTCTGGAATGCTTGTAAAGGTAGAGGGTAAAATTAATGCAGCAAAGTAGAAGGAAATGCTAGAGAACAAGCTCCAGCAAGGCAATGACCTGAAGCATTCCGCCAAAGCTGCACAGAAATGTGTTAAAGGCAACGCTGTAATTGTTCCTGATTGGCTGAGTCAGGGCCAATTGAGAATCTGTGGTTGGACTTGAAAAGGGCTCTTCATTCACAACCCCCATGCAATCTGACAGAGTTTAAACAGCTTTGCCCAGTAAAATTGCATTGCACAAATGTGCAAGGCTGAGACCTATCCACACAGTTTTAATGCTGCGACCAAAGGTCCATCCATTATCTATACAACGCTTGATTCTCACTAGGGTCGTGGGGGGCTGGGAGACAACCAAGGGCGACCAAAGGTGCATCTACTAAATACTGACTTTAAGAGTGTGAATACTTAAACAATGGATTATTTTATGTTTTATATTTTTAATTAATTGACAAAACTTAAAAAAAAAAAAAAATCTGTTGTCATTCAGTGCTGAAATGCAGTAAAAGGATCAAACTTCCATGAGGTTTAAATACTTTGTATTGTCACTGTATCTCTAAATACAAAATGATTTCCTTACTCGTCTCTGGTGTAACATGGATAGGGAAACATCTGAACGTAGTTACCAGGCTCTACCACATCATGGCCCACAAACGTATTGATGATGGCTCTTTCTATCATATCTGGAGGGAAGTTAAAAAAGACAGAAATTAGGACAGACTGAACAAAACTAAAACAGGCTGATTAACTTGTATCCATCGGGCGGACACAAATTATAGTTCACTAAAGCTAATTCACACAAAAAGCAACTATATGAAATCAATACAGTAGCATTAAAAATTTCTCTTAAAATATCCTAATTCAGTGGTCTCCAGTTTTATACACATAAAATTCTGTTGATTTGTATTTGATTCATGTTAGTCAGCCTTTTGTCCTGTGTTGGCATCCATATCTGTTTCCTGGACATGTGATCCCTAGCTGTAGTTCTTTGGCCTTGTTAATTTCTTTTGGCCTCGTTATGTCAGTTCTGTGTTTAGTTTCCTTTATATTCTTATGTATCTGTATATTGTGTTATGTGTCATAAATTATTGTCTTTTATATTTGCACGTCTGCTATGTCCTTGCTGTCTGCACCTGAGTCCTCTGCATGGCTGGCTTGAGTAATAATATTAAAACGGCTATATTAATTACACTACAGGTAAGGGTGACAAGGATCACAAATCTGGCTTAAGTTCACTACTCGCAATGTGCTGCATTGCATCAACAGATTTGTTCATAAATTATATTTTTTATAAATATAACATTTTACAAGCATATTTAATGTCGATAAGCAAGGCTAATTAAGAGATAATAACCTTATGCACAGCCAAAGGCTTGTTCATTCACCAGTGTCATGAGCTGGAGAGATAACTAATCATGAAGTACAAATTCAAAGGAACACGTGGTGTGTAGATTGCATTCAATAAAGACTTATCAGTAGTCAGACATGATTACAAATACATGAGCTTACCTGTAGTATAAATGGAGCTCCTTGAAGTGTTGAAAGACAATATAGCTGACTTAGTCAAATGAAAGTAAAAAGTGCCTCAAAATACACTTTTTGGTTCCTTTTTGCTTTGAAATAGCAAAATGAGTATTAACTTTCAAATTTCAATGCATTACCTTTAAATGAGATATGGCAAGGGTACCCTAACAATTTAAACTCAAGTCAAAAGGTAAGTAAAGAGTGAAGATCCTTTAAAGGACTATCACATATTCAGTTTTCATTGGCACAACTCTTGATGAGGAAGTAGTCTGTGGTGAAATACACTTGAATGAAAACTTGTTTTTGCTTTCATTGTGTTGGGGCAGAGGCAGAAATCCAAGATGTAGAAAATCAGTCAGCATGGGCATGTCAAGCATGTCAAGTGAGAGAGTTTTGTTTTTGTAAAATACATGATTAAATCCTGTTAATCTCTGCCATCTCAAAGTGCTAAATTCAAGTGCACCTGACTTTGGCCATCTCTGGGCCAGTTCCTCAGACTCCATCTCATAACTTGGGATGCGTCATTGTGCATCACCTTTTTGTATCAGATGTGCAGCTTCCCAGCTCTGTGCTTCCTGAATAAAAGATGATTGCAGTAAGGAGCTTGAACTAGCATCTTCATGGGTGCATCCTCTTTGCAGTGCACAGTGGTAAGTACTTTATAGAATAAATCCTTTCTTCGTAACATCAACTGAACAATGCATTTGACACCACAGTCTGGCTCCTCTGTGGATCTGTGTATGAAAACTAATTTACAGCACAGGCTGTTGTCATCTGTAGACTGCATTTAAAAAAATACAACACTTGAGGGGTTTTTTTTCTGATTATAACCATGGTAGGAAGCTATCTACTGTATATTGTGTTTAGGAAGCATTGCAATTCATCACTGACCTTGGATCCAGACAAAACCATAGAGGAAGTAGAATTTTCCCCCAGTGTTGGGTCCAGGACGCCAGTAGGCCCTTCTGATTTCATTTGTCTTCTCTGTAAAGCTTGAGTTTTGTCTAATTTTGTACAAAACATGTGGTGGCAAGGAGCCATCTTTGTTTGTCTGGAAAATCACACCTGGAATGAAAAAGGGCATAAACAGTATACATTAGGAGACTTGGTGGCTTAAGCAATAGTTCACACAATAGATACAGAAGATTTTTTTACAATTAACTATTTACAGAATGTACACAGGGTTAATGACAGCAGGGCGAGGGGCTGTGATGACAACTAGAGAGTGGATAGGGATAGACTATACACACGGGAGACGACTACTGGCAGGAGGCTAAATTACAAGATACAAGAATAAACATAAGCACTAACAAATCCAAACTAGACTATACACAATCAGACAGACTTAACCATACAAGATTAGCTATTTACATGGGCTGACCCAAACGTGGTAACAACAAGCCAGGAAAGCAGGGCAGACGGAACTGGGGGTAGCTGGTAGTTTTAACCAGACAGCGCTGGGGTTTATGATCCTCTCGATTTCAAAGGGGCCCGAGAAGCAGAGATGGGGACTCGAGTTTGTGACTTGGACTCGAGTCGCACTTAAGTCGCACACAGAGAGACTTCAGACTTGACTTGGACTTGTGCTCAAAAGACTTCAGACTCGACTCGGACTCATGTTTTGAGACTCGTGAACAATCATTATCTTTTCTTTTTTTATTTTCTTTCTTCTTTGTTTTGGCATATCAACATTGGGGAAACTCTCAAATGTCTGACGAGCTTTAAACTCCTTACCATTCCCACGGCCCGCCGGCGGGACGTGACCACTTTCCAAAAGCATTACAGCCATATGTGCTCACTCCACAATCACATTTCCCAACAACATACACATCAAATGAAAGCTCAGAGTCTCCTCTTTCCGCTGATATAAACCTTTTTGACCTGCAGCAACCACAGCGTTGACACAAAGAGCTTTTTGTACAGAAAAGCAAAATGTTAAAATCCGACTTTTCTTACTTTTAAAGGCTCTCTGCAGCTCAAACATCGCTCATTCCTCACCAGCTTGGTCTCTTTCTGTCCGGACAGAACCAGTGAACATAATCCCATAAAATAATTCAGTCCGTAAAACGTACTAGATCCTCAAAGGCACGAATTCTGCAGTAATGTCTTCCCAGCTTGAGATCAACTCCGGCTGTTTTATTCATTTCTTCTGGCAAAATCAGGAAGAATCTATTTAAGATCACGCTGAAAGTGCTACAGGCGGCTAGACGGAAGCCTTAGCTGTTGATTGACACCTAGTCTGGCCAATACGAGGGCTTTGGGGGTGAGTGACAGCCTGAAGAGCCAATGGAGTGTCTCAGACAGTCAACCCGGTACGCATAAGTTCCACCCTTGTAGATTAAACCAGTCGGGCTGCAGACACTCTCTGACGCTATAAACTTGTAGCCAATGAGCAGACGAACACGTGGACGTGTCAAAAGGCAGGATGGTTTGTGTGTGTCCGCTGTGGAAGCTCTGCGTAGTGACTCATGAGAAGTGGTGCGTAAAGCGTGCGTAATGCGTCAGCCCTCCATCTTCTTTGTTTTGGGATAGTTTTGGAGCGCAAAAACACGGCAAAACGTACAGAAAAGAGAAAATAGACAACAGGGGAAGTGGTAGAGGCTGCACAAGTCGAGACAGCAGCATATCTGTGTGCGTTCTTCGAACAGAGGCTGTTATAACGAGCGACTCATAGAGAACAAGTGAGCGTCTTAGTGCTCAGAATATGTGTACAGTTTGAGTTATACAGTAAATATACGGTTTGCAGTGTTTTTTGTGAGTGTGAATTGTAAATATATTTTTAAACTTGCCCATAGCACTTGTTTTGATATGTCTTATAACTTTTTATGAAAAATATATTTTTTATTTCATTTTTATGATGAAATCTGAATTTCTATAAATAATAGAGTGACTCTGTGTCTATATATGGATTCCTCTGGCTATAAGCTTTATTCAGCCTCACTGATGTCTGTAGGTTCAAGCATTCAACAGATATTGCACTTTTTCCTGACATGTTCAGTGGTGTCCAATTTGGATAGATGTGGATAAAACAAAAGTCCCTCAATAAAACGCATGAACATAGCAGTATATAAACTGGTGTCAGATTATCAGTTTTACAGATATTGTTTTCAAATTTGAAATATGAGTGCAATACAGGTTTTTCTATTGGCACACAGTGTGTTTTAGTTCCCACCTCCTAATGCTGCTTTATGCTCCTTTATTTTCAAGAAAAAACTTCAGCAAGGATCAAAAAAATATTTTTTTTCTGTGATGATTGAAATGGAATAACTTTTTACTGGTAGCACCTGGAATGATTCTGATTGCTGTGGCTAAAACTAGAGAGTGTTATCTTTACAACAGGTCAAACTTTATATACCCTCCATAAGGGTCAACAATAGTATTCATTTGAATTTGGAGATGTGGTTTTACAGGCGGTTGCATTGAAATGACGGACTGCCTTGGTTTGTGGAAGAGGCACTGTTATGACCCTGCGGGTCATCTATAGTGTTTTTGTGTTTTGCTGCTTGTTTTCTCTCCTCAGTGTGTGCGTGTGTGGTTGATGAACGAATGGATTAGGAGCAGGTGGTGACTATGGATTGGCTGTCTTGCCTACTGCCTCGCCTGATTCCAGCCACGCAATTGGTCAGAGGGCGGGCCCATCCACTATTTGAACAGCCCGCTAGCTGCACTCGTCCTCCTCACCTCCAGCCTCGCCACCTCAGAGAAAGCCAGCATGCCATCATGACTGTACTGCAGGAGGATGCAGCAGTAACTTGCTTGTAGTCGTAGCCATGTGCTACAGGTTCCGTTTTTTTTTTCTGAATCTTTGTAAATATTGTAGATAGAGAGCAGAGCAGGAGGGAGAGGCCTTTTTCTTTTAGACCCTTTTTCTCCTGTTTTTGGTTTGTTAGGTAGGTAGTTAAGATATAGTGTTTTATGTGCTTTTTCTTTTTCAACAGGGAAATCAGGGTTAATGTAGAGTATGTTTTGTTTGTTATTTTGGCCTATGTTCCCCCTCTTTATTGTAAAAATAAAAGTAACTGCTCATTTTCATACTTGGCTTGTCCTGTTGTTGGCCTTCTTTGAGGTGGAAAGACTAGTGTGGAGCAAAATTCATGTTATGCCAAAGGTTCCCCTGGACCGGAGCATAACAGCATGCCAAAGTCTTCCCGAGGCTCTGTCTTGTGGCAGGAGAGCGCTCGCTGTTCCTGCCACCAGTGCACCAGTGGAGAGGCTATTCAGTCACAGAGGCCTAATAATGCTCCCTCACCAAGCCAGGCTTAGTGCAAGGACATTGTCCAGCTTGATCTGTCGTCCAGCCCACAGTAGCAATCTCATCGTGAAATTCGCTGACGACACCACAGTGGTCGGACTCATCTCAGGGGGAGACGAGACAGCCGACAGAGAGGAAGTCCTGAAGTTGGCAGCCTGGTGTTCAGAAAACAACCTGGCTCTGAACACCAAGAAAACCAAGGAGATCATTGTCAACTTCAGGAGGCTCAGCACTGACCTAGCCCCCCTCTACATCAACGGCGAGTGTGTGGAGAGGGTCTACACCTTCCGGTTCCTTGGCGTCCTCATCTCCTCTGACATCTCCTGGACAGACAACACCACGGCAATAACCAAGAAGGCGCAGCAGCGGCTTCACCTCCTGAGGGTCCTCAAGAAGCACAACCTGACCCCCACCCTGCTGCTGACCTTCTATCGCTCGTCCATTGAGAGCCTACTGACCTACTGTATCACAGTGTGGTACAGCAGCTGCACCATGGCAGACAGGAAGAGGCTTCAGAGAGTTGTAAAGGCAGCCCAGAAGATCATCGGCTGCCCTCTCCCCTCCCTGATGGACATCTACACCTCCCGCTGCCTCAGTAGAGCGAAAAACATCATCAAGGACTCCCACCCTGGTTCTGCTATGTTGGACCTGCTGCCCTCAGGGAGGCGCTACAGGTGCATCAGAACCAAAACAAACAGACTCAAGAACAGCTTCTTCCCAAAAGCCATCACCACTCTGAACTCACACATGCACTGACATCACAGTCCACCCCCCCCCAGCCCCCCCCAATCTACCTCACATCCACCTACTGTGAACTCTACAAATGTGCAATATCACCTCTGACCATGCTGTGCAATATTTTTCTAAATCCATACTGTACATATAACTTATACTGTATATATAACTTATTTTAGATTGAAATCTCTTCTATTTTATTTATGGCTCTTTATTTTGATCTTTATTCTATGTTGCACTGAAGGAGCTGCTCTTAATCTCATTGTACATGTGTGTAGTGACAATAAAGGCATTCTATTCTATCTTTCTGAAATGTCACCATTCTGTTGCCTGATACTTTTCTAGGTCTGACAGCAGGCCTCTGGAAGACACCTACCAGCCTGCTAATGTTTAGCTGGTGTATTAAGAGAAAAATAAGAGAAGCCATTCTGATCTTATTGTAGGTTTATTAGTGTTAAATATTTTGTTCTCTGCAAAACAACACTGTTGATTGTTTCCACAAAAAAACACTGTTTCATTAGTAAACAGGTCCAGATAGCCAATAAGTCCAATGATACTCATTTTTGAGTTTTACTTTTAAGCAAGGAATCATTTTTGTCCTGCAAAGAAAGGTGCCTTTAGGAACAAAACTGGTCATGTTTTGATATCACCAGTTTACAGACTTACAATATTTTTCAGATAATGTGGCAGCAATATTTTGCTTTTTTTATGAACAATTTTTTAAAATTGCAAATGACACAGAAGTAACATATACAAGTGTTTAAAGTACTTTTGAGTGTTTTTTTCACAAGTTGTTTGCATTTATCTAAAGTGTGATGCTTTGCACTAATTAGAAGGATGTTAATTAGCCTACAATGTCTTTGACTGGGTCAGGTGTAACATTTTCTATATGTTTGTTCTTACTGTGGTCCGACTGAGCCTGAGCAATAGGGGACAGGATATATTGTAACTGTATGTTCATGTTGGAAGAACACAGTTTCCTTTAAAGGAAGTCATTCATTCTGTGTTTTCTTCATCTTTCATTGCAGGACCCTGTTTAAAGTGATCATCTAACAAACAGCTAGTCAGTACTGATACT